GGAGGAGGGAAAAGATTTCTCCTGAAAGGCCAGCCGCTGGCCCCGGGGGTGTCCGTGGGGCGCTGGGGGAGGGAACAGGAAGGGACTTGGGCCTCGTGTCCCGCCCCGCTCCCCCCGCCCTCCGTGACGGCAGAAAGTTAAGGTTGTATTTTATTATGTGAAACATTCCTTTGTAAGTGAACCTTCAGCGAAGACGTCCTGAGTGTGTGGCGGAGGGAGGCGGGCAAGACCGGCGCTCCCCTCCCCGGGCCGCTGGCGCCTCCCAGCCCGGCTGGGCCTCCTGCCGCCACCCGCGACCTCCCAGCCAATCGTGCTTCCAGGCCCCGGCCCAAGTCCCGACCTGCCCAAGAGCTGAACCTCCTGGGGAGAGCGGGGTGGGAAGAGTCGGGTGACCAAGAGGGGGCGGGGCAGCCCCGCCCCTGCCCGGCCAACCCAGCCCAGGACCCAGGGGACCAGTCAGGGAGGCTGGGGGAGGGAGGAAGCGCCCGCGAGAAGCTGCGGGGGGGTCTTCTTTGACCCCTCGGGGGAGGGGGTGCCGAGGCAAACCGTGGTGCCTGCGAGATCCGTCATGCCGTTCTCCCAGACCCTAGGACTAGGCGCAGGGCAAGCGGGACCGTCACCTCTTCTGGGGCCGAAACTGTCGGAAAAGCCACTGGACGACGAAAGGCCACAGGAGGAAGAACAGCAGCGTGGGGCCTGAGAGCCTGAGAGGCCAAGGCCGGGCACTGGGCCGGGGTCCCTGCTGCCAAGAAGGAGCGAGTCAGAGGCCAGCCCAGGCCTCCGCACTGCCCTCCCCAGGAGCCTGCTTCCAGCTGCGTGGAAAGCCCCTGCCCCAAGTGGGCACCACTGGAAGGGAAGCGGCCCCCAAGTGTGGTTCCCCCAAATCTTCCCCAGGGCATCTGAGAGCCAGGAAAGGTGGGAGGCTGTGGGGGTAGGGAAGGCTTCCAGGCTGTCTCCTCTGGGCCACGAAGCAATCACCTGTCCTCTGACCTGAAGACCCTGTCCTGTAAAGGGTGTGCCACTGACTCAAATGAGGACCCGGGGACCCAGATTTTAGTTTCTAAACATCCTTCTCCACTAAAAGAAGCCAGGGCTCCTCAGATCCCAGGTCTGGACAGGGAAGGTAGGGGCGAGTGTGTGACACCCTGTGCCAGCAAGCAGGGTAATTCTCACAGATGAATGAGGGATGCCCACACAGGACGTGGCTAGAGGGGTCCCCACTGGTCAAAGTTGTGGCAGTTTGAGCATCAAAAAGAATGATGGTGGTGGCTAATCAGAATACTCATCCATCAAAACCACAAGGTCCTAGTGACACTCCAAAGTGGAGAACACTGGAACTCTGTCACCACTGAGGTGGCGTTTAAATCTGCTCCTTTCTTTAGAAGCAGATAATTAAAGAGACGATCAAGTGCCCGCCTTGCCTTTCCAAAAGACACTTTCAAGGAAGCCCAGGGCGATCAGGGAGACGCCACAGAGAAGGACGGTTCACAGAAGTTGGAGGAGTAATAGCATCTCAAAGGCAGCTGTTTTGCAGTCACAGATAATAGATTCAGGCAAAGATGATCAACTGTCAAAAACTGTGTGGCAGAGGCAGCTGATGGGGAGCTGGGTGCTCCTGGGCTGCAAGAGGAAAATGGCCTTGCCAAGGCAGGGTCAGCCCTTCACCCCTTTGTGGTACCAGCAGGCCATGCATGAGTCACTCATGGGGAATGAGAGATAGCACACGTCCCTTGGTGTGCAGTGTCATCTTTGATGTCGCCTGGTCCAAAATGGGTTATTTATTTACTTTTTTTATTTTATTTTATTTTTTTGAGTTGGAGTCTCATTCTGTCACCCAGACTGGAGTGCAGTGGCCGCTCCCGACCACTGCAGCCTCGACCTGCCAGGCTCCGGCGATCCTTCCACCTCAGCCTTCAGAGTAGCTGGAACTACAGGCGCGCACTACCACACCCAGCTGATTTTTTATTTATTGTAGAGATGAGGTCTCGCTAAGTTGCCCGGGCAGGTCTCGAACCCGCGGGCTCAGGCAATCTACTCATCTCAGCCTCCCAAAGGCACGGGATTACAGGCTGAGCCACCGAGCCCGGTTTATTTACTTTTTTGAGTCAGGGTCTCATCCTATCGCCCAGATTGGAGTGTAGTGGCACAATCACGGCTCACCACAGCCTCGACCACCTGGGCTCAGATGATCCTTCTGCCTCAGCCTCCCCAGTAGCTGGGACTACAGGTGCGTGCCACCACGCCCAGCTAATTCTTTAATTTTTTGTATAGACAAGGTTTCACTAGGTTGCTCAGGCTGGTCTCAAACTGCTGGGCTCAAGCAGTTCTCTTGCATCAGCCTCCTAAGGTGCTGGGATTACAGGCATGAACCACCATGCCCACCAAAATGGTCCGTCTGACTCTAATCCTGTCCTCACATCTAACATCCAGCTCACAGGAAACACAACTTGGCCAAGAACCAGCCTCGAGGGCACAGTCAGACCCCAAGGGTGGGTCGTTCTGTGAGACCACTGGCCAGGCTGGTTAGCCAGAGAAGCCGAGACAAGGCCTGGTCTAGATGGAGAGGGACTTGAAGGACAAGGAACGGGGCAGCGTGTGGTTCTAGACTGAACAAGGACAGGAAGAGGCGACTGCAGGACAGTGAGCAGATCTGAATCTGGACTGGGGATCTGATGATTGAAAGAACTAATAATTGTGTGAGGTCAAATGCTGCTTAGGCTGGGTGGGGAGGTTTCTTTTTGGGGGGGTCAGAGTCCTACTCTGTCGCCCAGGCTGGAGGGCAGTGGCATGCTCATGGCCACCACAGCCTCGATCTGCTGGGCTCAGGCAATCCTTCTGCCTCAGCCTTCCAAGTAGCTGGAACTACAGGCGTGCGTCACCACCCTCAGCTAATTTTTTTATTTATTGTAGAGACGAGGTCTCACCAAGGCTGGCCCAGGCTGTCTCAAACCCCTGGACTCAGGCAATCCCCTCGCCTCGGCCTCCCAAAGTGTTGGGATGACAGGTGTGAGCCACCATGCCCAGCCTGGAGGGTGTTCTTATTTTGAGAGATGTAAACACAAGTATTTCAGAATGGGACATTACAATGTCTATAATCTAACATCGCCAGCATTTAAAATTAGTAAAAGAGAAAAAAAGAAACAAGAAGCAAAGCCCTGTTGCAGGGGAGGGGGCAGTGTGGTATCCAAGGGAATCCCTGCCACGGGCTGGCACCCCTGTGCTGAGTGGGCTGGGGTCACCCTGGAGACCCCCACACCCGGCAACTCAGCCCCCTCCTGCCCCCGCCACCCAGGGCTGCTCAAGAAGAGACCCCCTCAGAGTTCCTGGGGGGTGCCAGCTCTGAGGGGAGACAGAGGCCACCCCCAGCTCCATCCCTGAGGACTGTTAGCAAGAATAAGCCCAGGCCCTGCTGAAGAAGGCTCTGCAGGACACGGGTGCAGGGCCTGATCCTGGCAGTGGCTCAGGGAAGGGCTCCCTGCTGTGTGTCCTCAGGCAAATTACTCAGCCTTTAGAGCCTGGCTCCTCCTCCGTTGGGGACATGGAAAGAGACCCTGCCTCATGGGGCAGGAGTAGGCGAAGGAGGGAGGCAGGTGGGGGTCTCACACACAGCTGGGGCTCAGGAATGAGACCAGGAGCCGAGGGGGAAGGGTGGACAGATCTGGAGGTGGGGTGGGAAGGAGATGGAAGGCTGAGCTGTTGGGACAGACCCTGAGTCTGGGAACAGAACCCCTGACTGGGGCCCCCAGTGCAAAGAGTGACACATCCTGGCCCAGCCTGGCCACAGGCCCAGACCCCAAGCATCTGGAGGCCGGGCGGAGAGGGGCCCTCCTACTCAGCCTTCCAGTGGGGAAACACTCAGGCCACCCCGCCGGCAGCGTGAGCCATGCCGTCCTGGACAGAGGTGTCGGCCATGAGGCATGAGGACACAGACAAAAGTGGCTGGGTAGGAGCCCCACAGAGACAGAGTCCTAGTCCAGTCCTGCCCAGGGGTGAGGGGGACTCACCTGCTCCGGGGGCCGGGGCGTGCTCTCCAGGGTCCGCAGTCTCCCCTGCACATCCCACATGCTCTCTTGCAGTGCCCGAACTGTTCCCACCAGCCACGTGTCCAACTCCGGGGGCCCAGGCAGGCTGCCCCCTGACCCCTCTGCGGAGCACACACACACAGGGATGGGGGCTCGGGTGGCCACTTGGTGTCAGACAGGCAGGGCAGCCCAGGGAGGTGTGTGAGTACACCACGATCCTGGACCAGGTGTGACTCTGCAGAGTCCAGCCATGTGGCTGGGTAATGAGCCACTGGGGTGGGAATCCCAGCACAGCACTTCCTGACTGTGTTAAAGTCACACAGGAACCATCAACTTCTCTGAGCCTCATCTTGTCATCTGAAAATTAGGGAGGCTGGGCACGGTGGTTCACGCCTGTAATCCTAGCACTTTGGGAGGCCGAGGCGAGAGGACTGCCTGAGTTCAGGAGTTCGAGATCAGCCTGAGCAACTTGCTGAAACCTCGTCTCTACAATAAGTAAAAAAATTAGCCAGGCATGGCTACTTGGAAGGCTGAGGTGAAAGGATGGTCTGAGCCCAGCAGGTTGAGGCTGCGGTGGCCATGAGTGTGCCACTGCACTCCAGCCTGGGCGACAGGGTGAGACTCTGACTCAAAAAAGAAAATTAGGGGAAGATGTCTTCTCTTTCCCAGGGCTGCTCACTCAGAGAATCAAGATATTTTTGCAAGTGCCCCATAGGACTTGGCACAGAGGAAGTTAGAAGGGACGAGGGAAGAACTCGTTGTTGTCCTTTGAGATTCCCAAATGGGGGACCCAGAGACAAAGGATGGCTTCCCAAGGTCACGCCGCTGTAGAACAGAGGGCTGCCTTAGCACCTGCGGAGGGTGCAGGCTCCCAGTGCCCTCAGGGAGGAGGCAGGGTAGGGACTTTGCCCACCCAGGCAGGTATCTGGCAGTTTGGCGTCCCTTCCTGGGATAGGCCACTTGCTCCACTGCCCAGTGCTGGACTTCCACCTCCGCCCCCAGAGGGCAGCCAGGGCAGGTCTGGGGACTGGAGTCACGGGGAGAGGCAAAGGGCTGGGCAGGAGCTCACCCTTCTCTCGGGAGGGCTCAGGGCTGTCCCTGGCGTCAGGCTCTCCTCCAGGTGCTGTCCTCTGCTCTGCCCAGACCTGCTAAGAGACGTCAGAGGTCTGAGGGGGAGAAGGAGCAGACAGGGCATGGTGGGGACAGGAGAGATAGGAGCTGCTCTCACCAGCTCAGGCTCTAGCTGCTCCAGGGAATCACAGAACACCTCAGCATCCAGATCCCTGGGCGGCTGGGACTCTGGGGAAAGAGAGGGAGTGTCATAGCCCAGAGGGAGACTGGGGGGGTGTGCACTGGGGAGGGGCACCTGTTCAGGGAGCATGAGAGGCACTGCCACCAGAGGCAGCAGGGAGGCTGGGAACGGGAGCCCAGAACCTGTGCCATCCTGGAGTACAGGGGGCCTCAGCGTCTGAAGGGCCCGCATGGCATCCAGCCTGGGTTGGTCCTGTCCCTCCTCCCACGCACTAACCTGGGCTTGGGGAAGCTGGTTTCTCAGGGAGGCAGGGAGGCTCTGAAACAGCCGCCACATCTGCATTCCGCACCTGCTCCTTCCGCCCTGCCAAGACAGCACCCAGAGGTGGGGCTGGGAAGAGGCCAGCACCTCCCAGTGAAATCAAGTCCCTACTTTCTACATGCCATGAACGCTGCCTGGGAGCCATCCCGCCAGGGGCACTGGTCGGGTCCTTCCAGAGACATCACCTGGTGCCTCTGGCCCCAGCCCCCATCCAGCTGAGCACCCCCTGGGCCTAGGCCTAAGACAGTTCCCTCGGCACTCTTGAAACCCCGGGATCTGACCTGCGACCCTTCTCAGGAAGGTCTCCGGGGGCTGCGGCATGTCAGGGATCACCTGGTACAGGGGCTCGAAGTGACCAAACATGTCCTCTGCCACCTCACCCAGGGGCACTGTGTTGATCACCTGTGGGAGAGGCAGCCTGTCGAGCGCTGGCTCCTCTCCCCTCCACCCTGTTCCCGCCCTGTCATACACTGCCCTGCGGCCAGTCGTGGCCCAGAGACAGACTGGGCTGGGGACAGCATGGAGGTGGTGGTTCCCACGGGTGTCACGTGTAGGAAACACAGTGGAGCGCAGAACTGGAAGGGTGCGGGCAGCCCACCCGGCTGGGTGCTGGGGGACAGAACCCACCGCCCCTCCCTACCTTCTGGGCCACCAGCTTCATCTCAGTGATGTAGGCAGACATGGCTTCCTGCCTGCTCATCCTGCCCAGGCTGTTCCAGGCGTCCCTGGGGGCAGAGGGCAGTGAGAGGGCTGGGGACAGCGCAGCCTTGTTTGCCCCGCGGGTGGGGAGCTCACCACTTGTATCGTCCAATGGGGTCCCAGAACCCGGGCCGGGGTACCAGGCAGGGCCCCACGGTGGCCTGCTTGTAGTAGCTGTAGAATCGCAGCATCTCTTCGTAGGAGGGGCGGTAAGAGCCTGGGCAGAGGGTCGGGGGCGGAGGGCACGGCGTCGGGAGGACGGAGGGCGGCGAGGGCAGAGGAGGGTCCCACCCAGGGCAGAGGGACGGGGCAGGAGGCGGAGGGCGCCCCCGGGCAGCCCGGGCGGGGACCTGTCCGCGGAAAGCACAGGGGTCGAGGCCACTCCCCGTTCGGGGTCAGCTCCGGGCCAGGGCCCGCGCGGGCCGCAGCCTCACCATTCTTGGGCAGCTTCTGGATGACGCCGACTGCAGCCTGGAACTGCTCCTGCCAGTCGGGCTC